CCCCGGGCCCCCCGTCGCCACCGCAAGGGCGGGAAAGAGTGACAAGGTCCCCACCCCAGCAAGACGAGCGCGCCCCGGCCTCGGCGACGTGACCGCGCCGCCGCTGCACAACGCTGTAACAGGAAAACGACTCGGAGGCGAAGAAGACCGCCGTCTCCCACACGCATTAGAGAGGGGCGGCTGCCCCGCTGCGCCGCGTGCGCCGTGGAGGAGTCGTGGCAACGAGGTGGGAACTGCTCCGCCCACGTACTGGAACTGATTGGGCCAGCCTCATGAGTTTGTCCTTTCATTTTCTCCTTCTCTGCCTCTCTCTCTCTCTCTCTCTCTCTCTCTCTCTCTCTCTCTCTCTCCCTCCCTCTCTCTCCCTCTCGCTCTTCCTTCTTCCCGCCTTTCCTTTTCAACCCTCACCCCTCCCTGAGCTGGATGGCGCGGCTAAGAAAACAAAGCCGGAGAGACAGCGAGAAGGCTCGCTCCTCTTCACCTCCCTCCACCCCCACCCCTTCTCACTGCCTATCTCTCTCTCTCTCTCGCACACACACACGCTCTCCCCGCGACCAGGGCACGCAATAAACAAGGATAGACTGCTGGCGGGTAGGAAGCCGTCGAATATGCTGGATAGATATATAAAGATAGATAGGTGGATAGGCCGTCAATTTTGTGAATTTTTTGTTGTGGTTTTGTTGAGGGTTGCCTAAACGTGATGCCAGGTGGCCGACTCACACCGCGCACTTATGTAGTTATACTGTACCGCATGCACGGTTGCGGGTGGGTTGCCTACTCGCACGGGGCCCTCAAGGAGCCGTGGGCAATGGACAGCGCGGAGGCAAGCCCGCCCGCACACGTGCATGCGGTACAGCATGACTGCGAAAGTGCGCGGCGTGAGTCAGCCACCTGGTAAAGCTGAAAGGTACGGAGCTTATACTTTAGCTATCTACAGATACACATTTCAACACCACATTTTCCAACCCGATTGTCACGCAGTTATAACGGGCAGGCAGAGAGGTAAGGAGGGAAGGAGCGAAAGGGCTGAGGAGATCGTCTCGGTTGTGCTCGGCTGCCATACGGGAAGTTCCGAATCGCCATACTTTGTATGCATCTTTCAGACCACAATGTCGGAATGTCGCCCGAGTTCGCCGCTTGTTCCAATCGTCCCTATGTGCTGCCCAGCCCAGTGGCACCGCTGCCCC